TATTATAAAAAGGAAAATAGAAAATCTACAATCTAAATTTTCAACAAAAATAATATTAAACCTATTGAAGTGATTACTTTTTTTTTCTTCATAACTTTTACTTAATGAACAACAATTAACAAAAAAAGAAAAAAGCATTAATAGTCTCAATAATAAATAGTTGATAAGTATTATATATTGATAAATATTTTGAAGGGTTGAATTTAATTTTATATTTACGTAATTCTATAAAAGTATCAAAATTATGATGATAAATAGTTAATGTGTTCGATAACAAAAAAAAAATGTGTTGATTTGTTTGGTCGATTTTAGCTTATATACTTTAGTGGTTGCCAAATATGTAGATAATAAAAAATATTTATATAAGTTAGCTTGATCAGTTTATAAACATAATTAAACACCTTCTAATTTAAAAATTTATTTCCTCATATATAATGTTTGTATTAATTTTTAAAAACAAATTATAAAATTCACAAATAAAGATAGAAAAAATATACCACTTAATTATGATTAAGTAATTTATAAATGTCTTTCATTTATTACTTAAAAAATATAAAGGTGTGCACGTAATTTTTTTTTTAACCATTTTTGAGGATATGTGGTCCATTATAATTCTTGTTTGGTAATAAGTAGTAAAGTATCTAATGTGAATGAAATAGAATAAATAAAAATAAAAAAAGTTGCAATTTTTTTTTATTTGTATTTTTAAACTAGTCATGTCGTTATTCATGTGGGGGCTATTTTTGTCATTTTGATAGTACGAAAGCGGTAAAGAAACAGCCAAAATAAGCCCACACGTGCGAACATATACTCATGGACATGTCATTGTTCTTATAAAGCCCTTTTTATCTATTATTTTCCTATTTTACCCTTCCTGTATCGAATTACCTTTCAAAAAAGAAAAAAAGGAAAAAAATGATATAAATAGTTAATGTTTAGCATATATTTTTATAAATATTTAGCAACAATTTTTTTACAAAAATCTCCCTTATTTTTAGTCTCTCGATTTGTTGTTAATGTCTCTTTTTCACTATTTTTTCGATCAAGGGTCTTTTAGATACAATTTTTTAATTTTTTCAAATGTATGAATAAGTTTATATACAATAAAATTATATTGAATTTGTTCTTATTATTCCCCATATTTTAAGAAAAGGAAAAAAGAAAGAAGATATTCTAGATAAAATCATACCCAATCATTGAAAATCTTAAATTTTGAAAATTCATTTAGATACTTCGAATTAAATGCAACTTTCACCTCTATTTGTATTTCAATGACCCAATGAAAAATAAATTAAGGTATTTTGAGGATAGTCAGAATAATCATGAAATTAAAATCATCGAGATCTTACCTTATGTTTTTATTTATGAAAAAGGAGAAAAATATACTACTAAAGATTATGTTGAAATAATAAATATATTTTTTATTTTTAATAAAAAAATAAATCAGATTCTGAACCTTAATGCTAAGTTGTAGAAAAAGCAAATTAAAATAATTATAATCTAAAAGGCAAAAAAGTACATATGCAAAAAACAAATACTATAATGAAAGTATGGCATTTATATAGTTTATAATGATAGAGTTTTGGAATAACAATCATTTCAAATAGAGAAACAAAAAGGCAAATGAATGCCCAAATTTATTTGTTTACATCAAGAAATTAATTTTTTGTACTTTGGACATGGCCACTAGGTACTAGCATGAAGTTTCTAAATGACTTAAAATCATTTATTTGATTAGGAAAAATAAAAATACTTGTCCATTCAACAAAAGGGATGAACATTAAAATTGATTCATTAAGGTATTTGATTTGAAGCACCAAAGTGACAAAAATCCATATTAAATAATCTTCTACCAAAAAAAAATCATACTAATAAAGAAGTTGATTGCACATTAATGATGGCTAATAGAACTTTCTCCAATTATTTCTTTTTTTTAGTAAAAAATAAAAAAATGTTGAGAAGAGCAAAAGTTTTTGATTCGTTGAATTTTGACGTATAATTTCTCTATTTCCTATATTAAAGTGACAGATTAAAATTTATAAATAGTTGTCGAAAAAAAATCTAAAAAAATTGAAAAAAGAATTTAATTATAATAGCAAATTAATATATATATATATATATATATATATATATATATATATATATATATATATATATATATAT